TTCAAACTGTCATTAACCGATGACAACTTTTTTTTTCTGTGAATTTTCTAGTTAAATCAATAAATATCACTACAGTTCAGACATACTTGCCTTAATACGCAATCAAAATGGTTGTATAGGTGTGCTTGTTTTATATTCATACAGTTTTTTAAATTAACTACATATATTTTTTAACAATAAGTTTCTTTTTAATTATAAAATGCAAGCTTTCAAGCTATAATCTCTCTTCAACAGGCTCAAATAAAAACTGTTTCTTACAAGAAATATTTACAAATTATATATATTTGTGTGTAATAATTATATATTATTTTATAATCTAAATAAGTTAAAACTGCGCATTTTAGATTAAAAATTTTGTAATTTTTATAAAACTTTAACTCTTTAACATGTTTTTATGCCCACATAGTGAAAAAAAAAATGAATTCCAATATTTTACACACATTAAAATATTTCTATTGATAATTTTCTTACAAATAATCCAAATATTGATTCTATAGTTTCAATGCCTAAAAGGAAATATCCCAGATGAATCAGTGTCCTAAGACGGGGTGTGTCTTATTTACTATGCTCTTCTATGGAAATAGAACCATAGTCTGGTGGGAAGACATTGTCTTAGTTAATTTTTTCATTGAAGAATTTTGTGGGAAAAATATTTTGCAGTAGTTTTCCTCTTGCCTTTATCACATCCAAACACTGTTGACCTAACAGTAGATTCATCTACCTTTATAAACAGTTTCCAACTTACAAGATAAGTAAGTGTCTTCCTCTATATTAAGATGGAGCTGGGGACTTATCCCTGTCTGTGCTTGGTACCCTCTCCTGACTTAGCCTTAGCTCTAGGGTGTTGTCCATCTTTCGCCACGTAGATGTATGAGGTGGGGATTTTGTCTTTCTGTTGTTGGTGGGATCTTATACTTATAGACCATTTCCACGATCCTTCAGTAGTTGGGGAAGTGGGGGGTAATTCTATATACAGTTACGAGCGTCATTCTTCATCTCCTAATCAATTAACTCTGTCACGGTTTGCTTTTTTTTGGAATGGCGCCCTCCTATTGGTCGGCTACGATCACGCCACCTTTGCCCCCCCCCCCCATCATGCCCCCCCTCCCCACTCGCATTTTTGTTTTTGTAACTATTGTGTTGGAGCGAGTCGCTCCATAAATAAATGCATATATTAGTTAATAACCAAATGGAATCCTCTCTTTCTTTTTCCCAGTAAGAGACGCCTACGGAAGCCAACAGTACATAGACAGATAAAGCACATAGGCTATAGTTTTAACTAACATATGCATTTATTTAAGGCGCCAAATTATAATTGTAACAAATAGTATTTGAATCAAAACATTCAATCGGGTAAAACACGGGCGTTGCCCGGGTCATTCGGCTAGTTTATAATAGATGTAATTAAATAATGCCTCATGTTTCTGAAGATGAGTTTCAGATATAAGAAAATTGCGATATACTTATATATTCTCAAGCTTCAATTGGATAAAATAAACATCTATTTTGAAAATAGAACAATCCAGAAATAGATCTTTAATTATAATGCGCTCCTGATCAGGATATTCTTTCACTATTTTTAAGATCTTTAATTAAAAAGGCATATATTGGAACAAAAAATAATCATTTTAATATATTTAGCTAAATAAATTATTTTTGATCCAATATATATATCTTTTTAAAATAAAGATATATGTAAATATGATATATTCACTCATTAATGGTGTAATGGAGAATATTTATATATAAACTAATTTTTATACTAAAATAGTGAGGTTTCTAAATTAATTCTAAAGCATAACAAACTATATGAAAAAAAGTCAAAAAATGAATTTTCACTAGCATCAGGTTGATTAATACTTAAAAGAAAAAACATCTCTGATGTATATAGGTGTTTATTTGTTTTGCATATTTTTCATTTATAAATTAATCTCATAATTTAGTCTGTGAAAATAAAAATATTGGACCGGTGACGAAAACAAAACTAAAAATAGATGGTTTAATGTTATGTAGTTAAGATATATGATTAATTGTGATGATATATAATTTTGATCTTCATTGAATAAAATATATAAAGTTTAAATGTGTTTTAAACTTTAATAACAAGAACAAAACAATCTCCTTATCGTGTAACTGAAAAACTAATCAATAAAGAATATTTTGTTACAATATTATGAAATAATTAGAAAGATCAATGATTAGTTGATATTTATTCCGATAGAGGGCGCAAGCCATCAACAACTTTGATTTTCACGATCAAGAGAATGCTTTATATCTTAGTACCAATCAATATATACGTAATTCGACCTATATATCGTTGATTAAATTCATATATTAAACACTAATCTCGAAAATTAATGACCTTACACCCGCGCCGCCGTGAGAGATAAATTTATAATAAATAATTCATAGAAAGTTTCAACACACACTACCGACTGCATAACTAAAGTGAAATTTTAAAAGGTCTTAAAGTAACGAGTTTCTTTAGAAAAAATTTAAAATTTTCTTTCAAAATTAATATTTGAAATTGTCAATGATTTATTAGATTTTTTTATGAATAATTTCTCAAGTAATTTTTATTGATTTTTCAATTTTCTATCAGTGAGGTACATAATTGAAAATAAAACCTTACTTATTTTTAGCTTTTAGATATTAAATTACGTTTTAATAGAAAGAGATATATTTATCAATTTTCACAGAAATTTGAATATAATATAATTTATATTATCGACAAAAATAGCATATATATTTGACATTTATATTTCAATATAATTAAATGCGGCTTGTGATTGTAAAACGACATTTAAAATTATCCTGCATGTGTTGCTTTTGAACGAAAAATCATTCCCATCCCTGGACACTTTTATTTTTCCGTTCATCATTACTCTTCACAAATCATCCTATCATACTTCATCCCTAAAAGTTAGAAATAGTCGTTATTTCTCCTTGAAATAAATTTTGATTTTTCGTTCAAAAGAAACACATGCGGGATAATTTAAAATGTCGTTTTACATTTATATTTGCATATCCTAACAAGTATATATATATATGACGTATTTTAAAATATATTATTTTTATAGTTTAATTTATTTCGATTGACCGATAGATGGCCTTATCATTTTATCGAATAGGTATCTTAAGTTAATTTGAGAGAAAATGTATTTAATAATAATTCAAAGCGTCTTAAAAAAGTGTTTATTAGATTTATTTTCTTGCATACTAAACAGAACTATTATTTAGTAATTAAAATTAATAATTTATCGCTGTTGAAGAGTTTAGAAAATCAGATGAGATTGTTTGCTGAATATTTTAGGCCTAATTTCTTATTTAGTATTTACCTCGAAGAAGTTAAATTTGGTCAAAAGTCAATAAAGCTTATTCATAAAATATTTCTTAGATTTTTAAATGTCATTTTATTTTATGTCTAAAAGTTAACAGAGTTGAATATAAAATTATAAAATATAGCCGTTAGAATATAAAAAATTGTAATTATGATTAATATGAAATGTTTAATTCTAAAATTAATTTATCTTTTTTTTTAAACGATCTATGCATTGTATAGAATATATTATGGGGAATATACAATATTTATAAATGTATATATATAGTAAAACAAAAAATAATTTATATTTAGAATCTGGGTCAAACTTTTATTTTTTATAGTGCATATAAATCTAATAAGATATTTAATCAAATTTTAAGAAACTTTAGATTTTGCAGAATTTCTGCTCCATTTACCCCATTTAATTTTATAAAATTTAATTTTGGGAATTTTATTTTTGGAAATAATCTTTCATATTTTCCAATATATATATAGAGGTGAGAAACATAATGAATAGAAGGAAATTTATATTTTTATTTTTGAGGTGAATATTTTGATTGTATCAATATACATATATACATATATTAAATTTACATAATTTAAGTCTATTAATATAAACCATTTTCGCTATATATAATTATGATCTGCATATTCACACCAAGATTGTTTCAATATGTAAACTAGTTATGTAATATTGATAAGAAGTATGTGAATATATCAATAATAAAAAGTAATTGTAATGCAGTTAAACCTGTCTGTAGCACCCCCTCTTGGGACTCACCAAAATAGGGTGCTATAGAGAGGGGGTGCTTATAGACAGGTCACTTTTAATGTAAATCGCATCGTACTACGTATTTAAAATCGGGCGCTATAGAGAGGAAGGCGCTATTTAGAGGGGGCGCTATAGACAGGTTTTACTCTATATTAAAAATATATATTTAAGTATAAATTTACAAATTAAAAATTAACTTTTATTAAATAATGATATTCTAAAAGATAATTGTTGAAATTTCAACAAGCGTTTATAAGTCTTCAGTAAATGCATCTATATTAAAATTTTATTATTCAATGATAAAATAATTAATTAAACATTTTATATATAATCTTTATTAACATACATATTAGATATTTAGCCATATACATAACATATTTAAAATACACTGCTATATGTATTTTATTAGTATTAATAATATGATTCAAGATATTTATATTTATTAACTTACAATATATATATATTTTATCGAAAGCTACGATTTATATTTAAAACAATATTACATTTAAACTTTGAATTCTTTGGAAAAAAAGTCAGAAGATCGATGGTTTTTTGATCAGAAGATGTGTGAAATGGCTTGTTAAAAACATCTGCCATTGAGAAAAAAATGGATTTGGAAGAGAGAGAGAGAGAGAGAAAACTATATAAATGTGAAAAAACAATAAAAAATATAAAAAAGGTTCATGTGAGCCTGGTCAGGATATGCCTCTTTTATTTTAATATATATATATATATTAAAAATATATATTATATATATAAAACGAAAATTTCAATTATACCGCGAATGTTTCTTCTAAACAAAAATCTAAATTTATTTTAAAGAGAAATAACGACTATTTCTAACTTTAAGGATGAAGTATGAAAGGATGAAAATATGAAGAGTAATGGCGAACGGAAAAATAAAAGTGTCCAGGGGCGGGAATCGAACCCACGACCTTCCGCTTACCGGGCAGATGCCATGTCCACTAGGCTAGCGGAAGGTCGTGGGTTCGATTCCCGCCCCTGGACACTTTTATTTTTCCGTTCGCCATTACTCTTCATATTTCCATCCTTTCATACTTCATCCTTAAAGTTAGAAATAGTCGTTATTTCTCTTTAAAATAAATTTCGATTTTTGTTTAGAAGAAACATTCGCGGTATAATTGCAATTTTCGTTTTGCAATCATCAGCCGCGTTATATTGTATTTTATATTATATATATGTTATATAAAAATATTATTTCATTTAAAATTATATTTCATAGATTTAAATATTCTGTTAAGTATACCACCAGATTTCGCGACTTCCCTTTTTATAACCTATTGTTGTTATTTCCCGATGGCCGGCTCAAACCTTTTGTACATTATGTAAATAAGCCTTTCACTTTTTTTTATTCTTACGCCTTAAGTCAGGCAGTACTTTAACAAATTCTGTTTTTTATATATTCCTTGAGCTCAATTTAATCAATTTTTGATTAAAACTATTTTTATTATACATTCAAGATTTTTGCAACGACTGCATTGCCAATACCATTTAGTACTAAAAAGAACCAGCAAATAATTCCATAGCATAATTCTTAAGATAATCAAAATCAGCAGAAAATCTTTTTATTTATAATATATATATATTGTATTGAGATATTTTATAAAGTTTATCATATTTAGAAGGTAAATTTAATAAATATTAAACGATCTATTGGATAATAGTTTAAAATTTATTTAAAAAAAAAAATACGAAAATAGATACAGAATTTTAATAAATAATGTATATTTAATCCCTCTCTCTTTAACAAAGACATATTCAAAATTATGTATATGTTAATCTTTAAAATAAATATGCAAATATGTTTTCATATATATACTGAAGAGAGAGATTGGAATATAAAACTTCAAACAAATCTATTGAATAATCATTTGTGATGGTTTAAATGCATATTTTGTTATGAAATTATGAAATGTGAAATTATTTTGAACCAATATACGTATATAAACACAAGGTAAAAAGACCAAATAAATAAATAAATAGTATGTATGTTACACACTATTTATTTAGTCTTATTACCTTGTGTTTATATATATACATACATATATACACATAACCAAATTGTGCCTTATCAATATATATATATATAGGAAATAAAATCGTGTTATATACGAAAACATATATTTGTCAATATTATTCTAACAATTATACTAATTATAAGGAAATAACTCTCTTTATATACTGCAACTTATTTACATATTTACACGCGTAAAAAGAAATGCAAATTTGCACTTCCAAAGTTTGTGAAAAATGGAATATTTTTATTAAAAAAAACAATTAAAAATTCCTCTCTTTAGAATATTAACTACAATATAAGTAATCACAATATTTATTTGAATAAAAATAATAGTTATTATATTGTAGCGGATGTATGTAAGTTTTTCCTTTATAGCTATTTTTAATGTAGAGGAAATAAATAATCAAGAATGTATGTCTCGTTAGTTTTTATTTTTAACCAACGTCTCATTTTTACAAAGTCGTCATGTAAACAATGCTAAGTGATGATGATTATTGGAATAAAGTTCTATGAAAAAATAAATATGAGAATAATAATTTTGAGATGTTTACAGCACGTATCAATATGTTATATATGTAATGTTAAAGTAATACACAACAGGTAGAAAAACCTTCCATCAACATGCTGATTCTGAATATATATAAAATAAATAGGTTAGTAAATTATTAATTTATTTAGTTATATTACTATACACTACATTACTACACTAATAATATTTATCAATTTGACATGCCTCTAATTATTATTAATATATTTATAAAATAAGAAAGTCGCCTCTCCTGTCAAAATTAACGCTAAAACTAATCTATTGACCGTCTCCGCAAACTAGTGGACTCAGGTCAGTAACAAAGCCACAACACCAGCTTTGGTAAACTGAGAAGCATCTACCTAGAGACCATGGTTTCGGGCTAATGGCCTTCGTCAGTCTAGGGCTGACTTTATTCCATGATATCCATAAGGGATCAAATGGAATCTTCACAATCCACCATAGAAGTGTTTATCTGGTAGAGTGACTGGGCCAAATCTATGGCTAAAATATAAATGGAAATGTCGACCTTTTATAGATCAATTTCCTCCCGACAAAATTTCAATCTATACTAATCTACTTACTAATTTACTCTCTCTCTATATATTTTTAGCTGCCTGAATTATGCAAATTCCGTGTAAAATATCCATATCTTGATTTTTTTATGAAACCATTTTGACCACCTAGGAGGGTCGTTGGTCGATGGGGTTGGTGGAAGGCTGGTTAAACCCTTTGGTTTTCGACCACTAGGACCCGGGTTCGATTCCCGCATTGGACACTTTTTTTCTGTTAAAAAAATGCTCAAATGGCCCCCGATTCTTGCAAAAGTCTAACCCCACCAGCGAGTGCAAGTAACCAAACGGGGCTCTGGCACATTTGTAAGTGCAAAGTCGAACTGCTTTTCACATGTGTAAACATGTGGTGCGCTTACAGTAAAAGCAGTCGCTAACTACCCACCATGATTATCATGGCCTGTGCCACGTGTACTAGGGATAAGCAAAAAAAAAAAGGGAGGGTCGTAGAGGTACAGCCTTCACCTCGCTGACGAGGGCCAACAACCCGAGACGCGTACGTAGTTGACCTTTTATGATTTATAAAGAAAACTGCTTAGTCAATATACATAGTGGAATAAACCTAAATCACAATATTCAGTTTGATATTTATTCCGAAAGATGGCGTTATAACCATTAATTTAGCTCATTTATGCGGTCAGGGCATACCTTTATATTGTGCCGTTGAATTCTCCAAACGATGCAACAGACATCCACTCAATGATAAATAAAAATTCAATAAAAGTCAAGTAAAATAAGTAAGTTTAATAAGTTCTTCTTTCTTATCTTGACAACCGTCATGACTGGGTGAAGTAAGGGGCCGTCTGCCTTTGTCATTAAGACTGGGAACACTACTTAGTAGCAGGCCAATGACTTAGCTCCAATATGATATGGCCGCTTCTGACATGAGGAACAGAAGCCATGTGCAGCGTTCCTAACATAGAGTACATACTCATCTTGTATTCCTGGATCAGGAGTCCTTACAGGGTACTATCAGCCGGGCCAGCTGAGCCCAGGTTTTCTAGCAAGCTTGTTACTGCTCCCCTTCCTCCTTTTTCATCTTGGCTTGGGTCCGGCAAAGGCGGAACTGTTTAATAGGTTAAATAAATGTAAATAATATAAAAAAATATAACACACCATCTATATATAGGGAATTAAAATATTAAGACAAAAATGTTTCTTTTCACAAATAAATCAAACCTCTACTATCCTTACTGCGATCAAAAATATTGGGAGGGCTTGGCTCATCAGTGGTGAGTGTAAGTAACCAAACGGGGTTCTGACACATTTTTAAGTGCAAAATTCGAACTGCTTTTTCACATGTGTGTAGACATGTGTTTCACTTACAGTAAAAGCAGTCGCTAACTACCCACAATGATTATCATGGCCTGTACCACGTACGTAATTAAAAAGACATATATTTGATCAAAATATCATTTATTTTACCAATATTTCAGTTGGCTGAACGCCAACCTTTATCAAGGTGTTATATTATGAGACATTATTATATGTTATAATACCTTGATAAAGGTTGGCGTTCAGCCAAATGAAATATTGGTAAAATAGATGATATTTTGATCCAATATATGCCTTTTTAATTAAATATATTTGCATATATATTATTTTATTTACATGATATATCTAAAAATACATTTTAAAAAGACATAAAAATAAAAAATCCATGTTGTTTTAGAGTTAATAGAAGTATTATTTTGTGGGCAATGGAGTAACTAACCCATTCTGAAAGTGATTGGTGCCTTCATTACCCTGCACACAAAACTGTCCCAACTTCCCGCCAATTTATATCCGTTTCTTCTGCGATTATTTCTCAAGTCGTCTGCTCCCAATTCTTTCTCACATTCCCTAATCTTTAGACTTTTCCAAATAACATTTTTACATAATATATATATTAAACCTTACATATATATATACTATATATGTCTTGAATCATGAAAATTTCTCTTATAGAACTGTAAAAAGATTATAAAAACGAAGAGAAAATTATTTATTTTTACTATACATGGGCTACGAGCTTTCGGGCAGCCTCGCCCTTCTACAGGGCGCCCTTTGTAGAAGGGCGAGGCTGCCCGAAAGCTCGTAGCCCATGTATAGTAAAAATAAATAATTTTCTCTTCGTTTTTATAATCTTTATACTATATATGTGTAAATAGAAACCATATATTTATTTATTCCAAAAAAAATTTGAAAAGAAAAAAATGTCATTAAAAATATGCTTATTTTTTTCAAAACCTTTAAAATATATATGCTCAATTAAATTTCTAAAAAAAGGGATAATTTTATAACAAGAGATTATGATTTAATTTATAATAAAGAAGAGAAAATATAAATAGATAAATTTAATTCTGAATGTTATTTTATATAATGTAATATAACAATGTAATAGTCTAAAAACTCTATAATTTGAACATTTAAAAGATAATTGAATATTCAAAAAAGGGATAATTTTGTAACAAGCTTTAATTTATAACACAAAGAAGAGAATATGTAAATAGAATAATTCAATTTAATATATTGAAGGTTATATATAATGTAATATAATAATACGCAATAGTCTAAAAATACTATAACTTGAAACTAATAGTAATATAATTTATTTTTTTTTTAAAAGTATATTCAATTATATTATAATTTAATTAATATTCGAAATTATTTTAAAGGCGTATGATTCTTTTTGAAAATAAACAATTTCTATTGCCCTTACTGCAATGGAAAAATTAATGGTAGATTAAACTGGCGAAACCGCTGGGAGGGTTCACCACTGATGAGCCAGGTCCTCCCATTAATTTTTCCATTGCATTAAGGACAGTAGAAATTGTTTATTTTCAAAAAGAATCATACG